ATAGTATAAAGGGTGTGTCATCCTGTTGGAAATGCTGTCTTTTTGATTTGTCCACAAGGGATCTGACCAGTATTTTGGCCATTGTTTATCTCCCAACCAAGGTCACTAAACAAGAGCTCATTATCATTCTCTCACTGCTGTTTTTTTGGAATCTTGCCTGCATTACAGGCATGACCACAATTAAAAAGTTTTCAATTGGCTGGAAAGCACTTTGGGATGTTTTGAAGTCAGGATAGGTGCTACAGGAATGCAAGTTCTTTATTTCTTTTGGCAGTATGATTGCAGAGCTTTATGACGTTTAAACCTGGTGGGGTTACTGTTTACCTTGTACTGTTGGATTAGCGTGCAGATTAAAAATAAGATACAGATCCTTCCAAATTGTGACACAACTGAAAGCACTGACGTTCTTCTGCTCAAATCCAAATAAAGCAACGATGTGACAGAACTATTTAGTCACCGAAGTGAAACCCCATGGAAAACAGCAGGGGCAGTACAGATATGAAGCTGGCCGAGAGACAGGAAACCGTGCTGAATGGTGTTTCTCAGCTTGAAGAAAGGAACTTAGCGGGGTTCCTCCTTTTCCTGATATATATTAATGATCTGTGTCTGCAGAAGTTGGGAGCTGCGTGACTGGAGAGATTCCGGTCAGTGACTCAAGAGGTTTTCTGATTGGCAGTTAGGGGACTGGAGAGATCCTGGTCAAAAAAGTAAAAACCCATAGGATACAGGTTAATGTGTTGAATTGGATCCAAAGTTGGCTTTGTAATAGGAAACAAAGGGTAATGGTCGAGGGCTGACCTACGAATGGAAAGCTGTTTTTAAGTGGTGCTCAGTGTTGGGACCCCTGCTGTTTATTTTACACATTAATGATTTGGACTTGAACGTCTGGGGCACAGCAGACGATGCAAGTTGGCTGTCTAGTGGATAGTGCAGAGTATAGCTGTAACCTCCAAAATGATATAGATGGGTTGGTAGAGTGGGCAGGAAAGTGGCGGATAGAGTTCATCTGTGTCAAGTTTGAGGTAGTGCATTTAGGGAGATCAAACAGGAAAAAGGAAATACACAATGAACAGGAATATGCTGAGAGGGGTAGATGAAGTGAGAGATCTTGGCATGCAAGTGCACAGGTCCCCAAACGTAGCAGTACAGGTAGATAAGGTTATAATGAAGGCATATGGAATGCTCTCTTTCATTGGCACAGGTATAGAATACAAAAGTAGGTATATAACAGTATAAGACATTGGTGAGGCCACAACTGGAGAATTGTGTGCAGTTCTGGACACTCTGTGCCCTAATTCTAGACTCTCCCATGAAGCAAACATCTTCTCAGCCTCTGCTCTATCAAACCCTGTCCGAATCATAAGTTTTAATGTGATCATCTTTCATTCTTCCAACTTGCAATTGACATAAACCCAACCTTTCTTTATTTGATAAGCCTTTCATTTCAGGGATCTGCCTAGTGAACATCACTGAACTGCTCCAGATGCAAGCATTTTGCTCCCTGATGGGCTCTTGTGACTCAGTGGTAGTGTCCCTACCTGGGAGACATTGGTTCAAGTCCTGCCTACGCCAGGCGGGTGTAATAACATCTCTGAGCAAGTTGATTAGAAATATCTGTCCCTCTCTAATATTGAGCCTGAAACCATACTCAGTTCTCTCGATGTGGTTTCACCAATGTTCTGTACCTTTGCAGCAAGACATTTCTTACAGTTATACTCCACCCTTACAATAAAAACCAAGATTCCATTTGCCTTTCTAATCACTTACTGTACCAGTGTGTGGCTGTTTGTAATTAATTTCCATGGATCCCTCTGTATTATCCTGTTCTGTAGTCTCTATTTCAGTAATATTTTGTTTTTCTCCTTGCCAATGTGGGCAGCCTCACAGTGTACTCTAACAGATGTTGCCAGGCCCTTGTTCTTAATCTCACATTACATTTCCTCCAACAGCACCTTCCAAACCCACAGCTCAACACCCAAAGGACAAGGGGAGTAGTTGCAGGGAACACTCCAAGCCACTAATCCTCCTGACTTGAAAAATATCACTATTCCTTTCCCTGTTGTGGGGTCGAAATCCTGGAATTCCCTCTTTAATTGCACTGTTCAGTGCAGCTCACCATCACCACCTTCTCATGGACAACTAGGAATGGGCATTAAATGCCATACCAGCTCCTGATCCCCATCCCATGTATAAATAAAAATAAAGTCCACCTGGCAAATTTTTACCCAGTCACTTCCACCAATTTATTTCCCTTTCCAGGCAATGTTCTCCTCACAACCTGCTTCTATACTTAGTGTGAATAATCAAGGCCTCACCTCGGACTTCTGTAGTTATAGCTTCACGAGTTACAGTTTGCTGATTTTTAAAAAATAGACTTAAATTTATCCCAAATCTCAGGATAGGCTAACTAACAGGGGACAAAGTGGGACTAGTTAAATTTTGTTTTGTGGAGAATCAGCATGGATTTAAATCAGACCAAACAGCCACCTCACATGCTCTAATCATTCTACAAATCTATGTTTACTATTTGGCCATCAGTGTCTTACGTGCACAATTCTATTGCAAGATGAAATTTTCACAGCTGGAGAACACTGGTACCATAGAAGTGAGTAAGACAAGCAACTGTTCGGGGTGCCAGAGTCAAGAAGTGGTGGGTGAGTGAGTGACAGCTGATTGTGTGGTTCCTCCCGAAAGCCAACTTGTGAAGGAGTCCTCTTCTGGGAACCACTTCTCTGAAAGGTCCTTAACCCAAACTTCTAGCTATAGCGGGCCAGAGAAAAAGTTCCTTTCTCCTGACTTTCCACGGACAAAGTCACAGCAGATCTATTTGTAACTTGCAAATTCCAGATTAGTTAAAAAGAAGTGTGTTTCTTAGAATTGGGTATTTTGATGTCGTAATATATAGTCATAAAAAAATCTACCTGAAAATGCTTTTTCCTTTGAGGACCTGGTTGGCATTTATTTATTGATTTATTCAAGGTTTATTATATTATTGTGGATTTTTGGACTTGATGCTAAACCCCAAAATTCAGAATCTCTTGTTGAGGAATGACCATACTGGTACAAACAACAATCACTAACCTAGGGGGCAAACTAACAGGGTTAATTGGACAAAACATAATACTCGAATCTTCCCTTATCGAGATTGAAGGCCAATTTGTGTCAGTCCATCGCTCTTTTAGATGCCTAGACTTCTAGGATCTTCCCATCCACACACCTGCAGACAAACACACATACCTACAGACACACACACAATGCTAATGCAAGACCCAAGCGTACCTTACTTGTTGGAGCTGCAAACTCTGAGCTTGCTGTTGTGTGCATCTCGCTCGCTAATTCCCAAACCTGACACCTATAGCAATTTCTTTGGCCATCTCTTGATGCCTAACTCAAATTCTCCCTTCAATGTCTAACTCATTCTGCCAGCAAGAGCTCCCTTTCGCAGGAATCCTCCTAACCAGTGCTATCCCTTGGCAACTGCAACAATGATCTTAGTAATATGCTCTCTTTTATTTCCTTTTCAAAGCCAACTTCAAACCCATCCCTGTGCCCACAGAAGTTAAAACGCACAATTATGATTGTTGATCAGTGGGAAATATCCTAGCCTTCCACAACAATCTAATACTTGGACCACATCCCTTGAACCTTCCTAACTGTTAGCTTGAGCTTATATTTAAAACGGGTACTCTGGGACATATGGGACATAACTTCAGGGTTTTTTTTTAACCTCTTAAAACCTCATTACAGTGCTTGGCATTAAAAGAGATGTGCAATTCAAGATGCTTCATACAATTAACTCATGCCAATACAATTTGCTAATTTTAAGCCACAAATATGCCACCAAGGTGAATTCTAACAATTGTAACCATAAAAGTAATAAACTCCAGCAGCAGAGCTAAGTAACACAAGCTGGCACATATATAACTATATGAAGTGATTGTGCAAACTTCACAACTTTAATAACTCTTCTTAGATTGAAAGTAGCAGCAAATAACTCCATCTGGAATAAGCTACTAAAGGACAAAGATAAATGTATCCAGGAATTGAAAGCAATTAGCCATGCCTTCGGAAAGAAAGAGTCAAAGCTACATAAAGAAAACTGTTTTAACAATTGCTTGATAAATGGATGCCTTATGCCACAAGGACAAACAGTCGCCCTGCAGAATTTAAGGAGGTAATCACAAGGAATCTTCAAAGCAGGCAGTCAGCACCAACTGTAGCAAGGAACGAGGAAGCTGCTTCTGATAAGAAGGCAAGCTGCAGACTGGCAATATTTTGGATGAAATAATCTAAAGGACCATCAATAATGTCACACCACAAACTTGTAGGACGGAAAATCATATAAAAACTTAACTCCAGGATTCTTTGAGAGCACAACTCTGAGAACAATACTACACAAGGATTGAACCCTGGACACATCCAGAGATTAACACTGTTGCTTGGAATTGTAGCTAAATTCCACATTATTTGGGTAATAGTAAGTTGGGTTATGAGACTTAATTTGCTTACTTGAGGAGTCTTCTGTTGGTTGCTACACGCAATAAAGTTTGAATAACTGTTTCAGTATTTGATTGTGAAATTTCTTAATAAGTAGCCAAATTACAGGTAGCTTGTGGTAATTTACCCACAACACTTCATTTGCAGAAAGATCTCTGCTTAATGAGGTCTGAGACAATGTTAAAACAGTCAATAAAAGACAAACTGAAGGACTCACTTCACTTTCTACTTCGTTACTTTGTGCTTTTCACAATATGCAGATCTGGTTCATGAGTCCTGACCTTCAATCCTTATTATACGTTCTGCATTGTCAAAGGCTCTCGATCAAAGTCTTGAATATATCACCCTCCCCTAAAATTGCAAACCTCCTGTGGCAAAAACACCAATTCAAATTAACCAGAATCTCTACTATTTGTTGCTAGAGCTTGTGATGTCGAAATAGCAGACAGGAAGTTCCCCAAGAGACTCCCTGAAGCATTTACAGATTGTATTTTCACGTACCATTCTGTGTAGCCAAAACGGTGAGTTTTTGATCTGCAGGGATTAGTGTTGCAGAGTGCTGCCAACTCTGCCAAGAGACAGCTCAGACTGGGCTGAATCAGAAGAACAGTCTGTTGCTGAGATTTCCATTTGTTCATGTGCAACATCTAAATGACTACTGCCACAGTCCTGAGAGATTTTCCAATAGGGTCCTGGGCTTGTCACTTCAGAAGTTTCATCGACCAATTTAGATGCTGGACTGTGGGTCAAAGCTGTTGATGTTGCACTAGGCAACTCAGAAAGAACAGTTTTGAGTCCTTGGTGATCCACTCGCTTAATTTTTATTTTGCTGCTGTCGTCCACGCCAGGCTCAAATTTGCTCCAACTTTCTGGCCCATTGAAAGGTTGCGTTGAATCTTCAGGATATGGTGTATCCTGATTTTGGACTTCACTGCGATCATTGCTGTTCGTGTGTCTGTTCCTTATGCTGTCCATTCTCACAGATGGTACGGTTATCTCTACATTGTTAGCCTCAAACTCTTTGTCCCCATATTGTCGAGTTATTTGGCTACTGCTATTTTGGAGAGAAGCATCTGGCCTGTAGGTTTCAAGTGATGTATTGTGTGAAGCAATGTCATCCCAGCTGCCGTTGCTGTCCTGGTCAGTCAGCAGCTGGGACCTCAATACACTCTCTAACTGCTCAGGTTCTTCAAACGCAACAGAGCCTGTTGCACTGCACCAGCTACTTAATTCTCTCGGCTGAGATTTTTCTCGATAAAGTTGCTCCCTGTCAACCGTTGCGGTGAGCCCAAACTGGAGGTAGTGTGCATTTGATGCGTGCACGCTACTATTCGATTCTGCGGCACTGACTACAGTGTACTGGTCGATTCCACTGTGAAGCCATTCGACACTAGACTTAAAATCAAATCCTTTCCTGATCTCCTGTTGGTGCTGTTCAGAACCTTGCCCAGATGGACACCAGAAGCGGACAATAGACTCAGTGGTGGTTTCCAAATCAGCCATACTACGGAATTCATTTTTGCTGAAAAGGTCCTGTGTTATCAAGTCTTTGGAATTGAAGCAACAGAGAACAGATGTTGCTCTTTGTCGACCTGCGGTATCATTTGCCTCCCTTGGGCTTTCAGTACAGCACCCACTTCCAGTCAGTAACTTGGAGAGGTCTGCACAAACCATTGCATTTGGCTTGCCCCAATGCTGAAAACTCTCAAGGTTTTGATTCAATTTTACCTCAAATTGGTAAACACAATCGGAATGTTTAGCCACAGCGCTGAAGATATTTGTATTTGCCAGCTGGACGAAAGAATCACTTAGAAAAGGTACAATGCTCTGACTGTGAGGGGAGTCCGTAATGAGGTTTCCCTGTCTGCCCAGATTTGAACCAGCTCCAATTCCAGCCCCGATTGGTCCATTCATCTCTGTCGGGTCTTGTCCTATTTGCATTGTGGAAAAATTGCTCACTTTCAGGAAGGATCGCTTGAGCTGGCGGCCTGCTGTTACCAAGGAATTAGAAATGAGGTGTGCACCATTTATGACTTTCCAGTGCTCCTGGTATTCAGACAGTGAGAATACAAAGCTGATCCTGATCCCCGAGAGCAAATCTGTGCCAGCACCTTTTGAAATGGCCGCTGATCTACAGCCTTTTGCTCGGAGCAGGGAGCCACCTGCAAGTGATGTCTGCCCAACAGTCTTTACTTCCCCATTGCTGCTCTGAGGGAAAGCTTTAATTGCCAGAGCTGGTCTTCGACATTTAAGTGTGATTCTTGAGGCTAGAACACCTCGTATCACAGACAGAGAGCCACAGGTATCCACGCTGCTTGACACAGGGGCTGATGAGTTTTCAGTTCCTGCCGAGCTCTTGACATTCGCTGCCCTGGGGAAGACCCCCGGTTTTTCAGAGTTTTCTTCACTGCCTGGCTTTCGATTCTCCTGGCAGCTGCAGACCATTGAAATTGAATTCTCCATGGTCCCAGAGATCCCACTCTTCATGTCTTGCTGCTTCCTCAATCCTCTGCACAGATCAAAAGGTCCATCAGCTACATGGTGCTTGTTCCTCGTTACACTTCGATTGGATGCACTGGTACTTAAGTGTGCAGGTTCTTCTGGCACTTTCCGAGGAGATGAACTATCTGTGTCACTCCTCAATGCACGTCTGCTGTTTTCAACCAAGCCCACACAACATGCATCAGCAACCGGCTTTATTAACGGTGTTGAACATGCCGATAGCTCACAGGGAGAGCTGCTGGGTGAGGATAGCAGACGGAGGAGCTGATCATCACCTCCTACAGAAGGCAGAGATAGAGTTTCCTGCATCTCTTCAACGTGTGCAATCAATGGAGGTTCATCCAACAGAGCTGAAGCATGCAAAACCGAGGAGACGGACTGATTTAATTTGGATAAGGTGTGGAGATTCATCAAAGGATTATTCCCTTTGCTGCTTTCAACACCACCTTCTAATTTAATAGCATTAGTCACAACATGTGCGTGTGGATGATGTGCTGTTGGGGCACAAGTGAGATTATTGGCTAAATTTTCTTCGACCTCCTGATTGTCCCCAGAGTTCACTGGAACCGAGCCCCCAACTGAGTAGTGCACCACATTAGGAGGCTCAGTTTCCTGCAATCTGTTCTCTTCCTCACTCTGAGCTCTGTTGACCAATGGACTTTGAACACTCCTCACTTGACAGTTTGCTTGAAAAACAGACATCGATCTGTTTACATCAGCAGGTTTTTGTTTAACGAGTGCTGGAGTGGTTTTGTCATCCTCGAAAGGAACCTTTGCAGTCTGCTGTCTTTCTCCAGGGTTAAAAGGAACATCTGACCAGCCTCTGGTTTCCTTGGACCCTGTAGAACCAGGACCAACTGAAGCAAACACTTGCTCCTTATCATTTGATATTGCTGTATTAAACGATGGTAGAGTTAAGTCTTGCATCTGCTTTACTTCTGGACCAGATGGATCATTTGACAAAGAGAGAACTATGTTCTGCTCTGGACTGGTTACACCAGGAGACAAGGAAGTTAGAGTTGCCACACTTGGTCCTTCATTGTCTTCTGGAATAATACCTAAAGAACGTAAAATGAATTCTAAGGTGTCCGATTCCTTTGTTGAAACACTCTGAGAATTTGGTATTGAGTTGAGCTCCTCAACAACTTTTTCTGGGGATGCATCACTTACCTTGTTACCATTTGTAGTGTAGATATCAGAAAATGGAGATCCATTTTCTGTATGGATTCCTGCAGGTACCTCACTACTGGCTTTACATTGGAGTCCTGCCTGATGTTGATGCAGATCAACTAGCTTTGATGGAGCACTGGACAGTTTAGATGATTCAATAGGCTGGGCAATGAGTTGTTCTGGGAAACCCTCTGAAGGTGGAACATAAACATCACCCTTTTGATCATTTGAGATTGCATTTGATAAGTGGACACCCACATGAGCAGCAGCTTCTTGCATTCTGCTGAATTCTTCAGCTCTTAATGCTAGAGTCAAGTTCTCTTGGAAGCTTTTTGAAGTTGCAGTGTGTTCGTTGATGAGGTAGCTCTCTATGGTACGATCTGCTCGTGCACAATGAGGAGAGGATGTGGCGCACACTTTGTCCGCAGTTTGCTGGCTCCCTGATCCTTGGCTGGAACAGCTCAGCGAATTCAGCATATCAGCTGGTTTTGTTGTCAGAGATCTCGTGGCACTTGGGAAAGATGCAGGCTTCTCTTGAACCGTTGAGGTTGTATGTAGGGGTGATATGAACGGCCCCTCAGTTTTGACTTCGGATTGTGTGAGGAGAACTGCAGCTTTCTCATTGCCAAAGGTGTGAAGCGAAGGAGAGGCTTCTGCACTTTGGCTGAGTTGAACTCTTGAATGAAGGCAAGCGGAAGGGCTTGACGCATTCCATTTAACAAGTGGTGAAGATGCATCATGCATGAATTGTTGTGCTCCTGCAGGGTTCTGCAAATTAGGCACTAAGTCTGTACTTGTATCCCAAATATCCTGGCAATCAGCCCTTTGGGAAGACTGGTTGACATAAGCTGACTGCATGACACTGTTCGATGTGATATTAATTTGACCTGATTCAGAAGAAACTGGTTGAACGTGATGTGAAGGACCTTCCAGCTTTTGACGCTTTGAATATCCATTCATTTTATTTCCGAAAGAAGTTCGCAACATATCATACAAGGCTTTGATTTCTTTTCGACGTTGTTCATCACGCTGAGAAGCATTTATCTGAGGACTGGTACGATTCATGTCTGAGGTGCTGGAGATATCCAGTGACCGAAATGAATGATTGTATGGTTCATCTTGTTGGTTTGATCCAAAATAATTGGGATCAACAGACCCAGAGCCTAAAGGTTCTGGATTCTTGGAGTTTAAACAGTTAAGTGAGTAATCTTGCATGTTACACTCAACACCTAAAGCCCCTTGGTGGATGTGGGGATACATTGTACTATCTTGACAAACAGAGCTTTTCTCTTCATGACTTTGGAGAGATAGACTGGTTCGTTCTATCAATGAATTGCATTGGTGGTGGTTTGGCACACAGGGAGATAAAATCTGTTGCTCGCTTTGTTTTGGAAAAAAAGAATTGCTGTCTATATTTCTGTTTGACATTAACTGATCTCTCAACGATGAAGCGCTGCTCAGATTCTTGCTGTTCACATGACTGGCAGAATTTATGTTCTGTGCTGCAAACTGACAGGATTGCACCATTGCAGGATTTTGCTGGGGTGACACATTTACTTCGCTCGCCCGTAAGTTTGCCTGGGCTGTTCTTTTCCTTTTATCCATAACCTCAAACGCGAAAAGCAAGGCCTTCAGCTCTCCAAATGTAAGTTCTTCGAGAAACCTCAGTACATCGTAACTCCTCCTCTTCCGCGAACGTTGAGACTTCTTTTGAGAATACACATTGGAAAGGTTGTGTGCCCTGGAAGTGGATTCACAATCTATCTGGTGATTTTCAGACGTTCTGTGACTAAAACTGTTGAACTGAGGAGCTACTGGCGGGTCAGAAGTGGCCTTTGAACAGTTTTGACTGGGAATCTGAGTACAAAGTCCATCTCCACTTGACATCGTGCTAGGAGTGTGGCTAAGCATTGCTTCACGTCCATGGTTCATTAAGTGGTTTCCAGTTGATGACTGCAGAGTTGAGATACTGTCCCTACGCAGTGCCTGCATTCTGTCTCCCTGCTGGCTTAACCCAAACATGTGTCCGTCTGTGGACCCTTTGCAAGCTTTAGTACTCGTGTTATGAAATGGGCCTGAATTGCAATAGCCTACGTTCGAAGCTTGCTGATTTGCAGGGCGCGTAAAAGATCCGGGAGCCTGTGGATACTTGGCACATGGGCAGTTATTCCAATAATTCTCCGTGGGCCGAGCCACAAAAACCACCCCATTATCTGACTGCCCAGGAAGTTGCTCCGAAACAGACCAGCTCTTGTGGTTTAGCAGAGGTGGTGTCGCCCAAGAGGCGAGCGAGCTTGGAGTTCCAGGCTGCACACCTGTAGAAGTAGGACTGGGGGATGATGGGAAATTCTTGACAGTTGCCTGGGCCTTTTGGTACCAGCACATTGGTCCTCTCTGAGAAGGGCCAAACTCCAAAGGTGTTTGAATGCAGGCCGCGTCTGACCACATTGATTGATCCTGAAAATAGGTAGATTGGCTCTCAGTTGGCAGACACTGTGGATAGGCAGGTTGGAATCTACTTTTAGTCTGGGAACCCCCGATTAATGTAGTCAGTATGGGTGAACGATAAGATGTGGTGTCAATGAAAGACGAAGATAATTCAGCTGAGGAACAGGCAAGTTGGTTGGCGTCTTCATTTGGGTTGCTTGTTGCCAATTCATTGGCAAAGTAGTTAGATCCACAACGGACCTTCCAAGACTGGTGATTAGATGAGGATGACCCATTATTGGCACACTCCGATCTCCAAACAGGCTGTTGGCAAAGTGGATATAATGCCTTCAGCTCATCGCGACCGTCAAAAAACTGGTGAAAAGAGTCACTTGGAGCCTGACTTTGCATCTTTTGCTGTTTTAACTTGCAGCGGGTCAGCTTGCTGTTTTTCTAATCTTAAGGCTTCTGTGAAGAAAAATAAATCAGAACTTTAATACATAGAAGTAAAAAAATAAATCAAATGCATTAAAAATTGGAAACAGAAACAGAAGTGGCTGGGTAAGCTCAACATCTGTGCAGAGAAATCAGAGTTAACGTTTCGGGTTGAGTGACTCTTCCTCAGAAGACTCCTCATTAAAAACTGGATCTTGCCACAATACCCATTATTGTCATACTTTTTAGGGATGATTTTATGTCAACACCCATCATGTGTTTATTTTCATTATCAACAATTACACTGTGGTTGCAGGCTTTGGCCACAAGATAACAGTGTGGAGGTGGAGGCACACAGAGTGGAGTGACCTTTTGAATCAAAATCGGGCAGAAGGGTCCCGACCCGAAACGTCGGCTTTCCTGCTCCTCTGATGCTGCCTGGCCTGCTGTGTTCCTCCAGCTCCACACTGTGTTATCTCGCAACAGTGAATGGGTTTTTTTTTGGGCTGGAGGGACGTTTGCAATGGAATTGCCCAGTGGTCAGTGTTGGGCTCAGAGATAGTAAGAACTGCCGATGCTGGAGTCAGAGATTTCTGAAGAAGGGTCCTGACCCGAAACGTCAGCTTTGCTGCTCCTCTGATGCTGCCTGGCCTGCTGTGTTCCTCCAGCTCCACACTGACAAGGACTGGGCTCTTGCTTTTCCTGATCTTGGTGTATAGGGGGCAATTTTAAAGGTTGCAGATGACACTTGTACAGGTGAAAATTGTAAACTGTAACAAAGGCATTGCAGGACTATTAACTTTTTGATAGACTAGGCACATAGATGGCAGATGAAGTTCAATGTGGAGAACAGCAAGATCATATATAGAATCCCTACAGTGCAGAAGCAGTCCACATTGATTCTCCAAAGTGCATCCCACCCAAACCCACTCCCTATCCCTGTAACCCTGCCTTTACTATGGCCAACCCATCCAACCCTGGATACTATGGGCAATTTAGCAATGGCCAGTCCACCTAACCTGCACATCTTTGGACTGTGAGAGGAAACACAGAGGAAACCCATGCAGACGATGCACAAACTTCACAGTCAGTCGCCTGAGGCTGGAATCAAACCCAAGTCCCTGGTGCTGTGAGGCAGCAGTGCTAACCACTGAGCCACCATGCCACCCCACACTGTTGGTACAAAAGCATATGGGAGAGACATTGTTTAACTTGCTTCAACCTGCTCCAAACCTATCACTGCACACAAGTCAAAGATTTGAGGTTTACACAAAACCTAGAACTCGCCTGACAATGCATCCATAAGAAACACAGCAACTACATCCTGTTTGTAACATACAGCATTGTAATACAAAAAAAAAATTCACTGCTCACAAAAACTTTTATCATGGGCATAATTCGACCTTTTGTACATTACAAATGAGCCTGCAGTTAGCTCCCAATTTACAGAATTTACATGATAGTATTCACAGATTACTGATCAGACGAGATCCACCCAGTTCCCAGCACTACCCAGTCTGCTGGTTTAGTAATGCAGGAACAATGGGGGTTAATTTACATCAGCCTCTCCCAGTTTACCATCACACTCTTTTGAGACAGTGTGACCCAGTGGAAGGAGTTGCAGGATGATTTATTGTCTGTGACACAAACACTCTTGCTGTGACCAGTTTCAGCTCTAAGGAGCTGATAGCACAGTTAATCACCTCAGGGAAACTGTTCTTATAGGGGTGCACAAACTTGATGATGAGCAGGAGGTGGTAGCCACATTAACCAGACAAGAACATGCTACCGGATCTCACCAAATTCAGAGCAAACCAAACACTGGGCTTTATTTGACAAACAGGAGGCTGGAAAAACACAGAAAGCCAGGCAGCGTCTGAAGGAGAAGTCAACATTTCAGGTATTACCCTGAAGAATTATCTGAAACGTTGACTTCTCTTCCAGATGCTGCCTGACTTGCTGTGTTTTTCCAGCCTCCTGTTTGTTTACCTTGGATTCCAGAATCTGCAGTTTCTTTGTCTCTTACTGGGCTTTATTTCTTAGGAAGAGTGAGAGAGCCAACACATGTACAATTCGTGAATGGCCTCCTCCTGTGGTATATGAAAAAGTGCACATGAAAAGCATCAGTGCCGAACACCCAAAACCATAACATAACATAAAACATTACGCTCTGTGGTATAATGGAATTAGCAACTTGGTGCTATCAAACATATAATTCTACTAAGAATGAGGAGATGTGTACAGTTCCTGCAATTACTGTGCACGATGCTGACCTTGGAAGTCATAATTCATATTCGGTGTGGGAAGTCAGCGCCTGTTTAACAGATAATGACAGCGAGATCCTTGTCCACAGTTACCAATCACTGGCAAAGAGTTATCTTCAATGAAATAGCAGGGAGAAATGTAATGGCCACTGTGCTTCAAATTGGGTTGAATATCTTCAGTATATTTGAAACCCTGCTAAATGAGATTACATTAAATTGTTGTCATGTCTGAAATTAGTGCATTCCATACAGGAATGGCTCCATTCGCTGACATGCTTTTTAGCTCACTGGTACAGATTACTGTCCAATCAATGCTGGCGATTAAGCATTCTGGTTTACATGAACGATGCAAGGTTTTCTATCTATTTACAAAACTCTCTGCTGCTTCCTTGCACTATTACACCTTTTGTTATTTAATTCCTCCATCTTCCGCCCTTCTGTTTTTCCACCCCTCCTATTCTTTCTGCCTCCTGGTCAAAAACCTGTTACACCTAAGTTTGTTCCAGAGATAGTAGGAACTGCCGATGCCGGAGAATCTGAGATAACAAGTTGTAGAGCTGGATGAACGCAGCAGGCCAAGCAGCATCAGAGGAGCAGGGAAGCTGACGTTTCGGGTTGAGACCCTTCTTCAGAAAATACACCCAAGTTTTCTGGTTTTGGCAAATGCTTACCAATGTGAAACATTAACTCTGTTTTACTCTCTCCATGCCAGACCTGCTGAGTTTCTCTAGCATTCTCTGCATTTACTATCTGGTCCTTAGCTGATTGCTTTCTGTTTTTTACACTTCCATAGCAACTACACTTCAAAAGTACCTCATTCACTTCCAAGGGTTCTGGAATATCCTATCTAGAAATGGAATTAGAATTAGCTTAATTGTCCCATGTACTCAAATGATTGCCGTGAAAAGTTAATACATCATCACTCACAGCGCCATCAAGATTAGAGGGAGCAGATTTAGGACTGAACTGAGAAGGAATTTCTTCACCCAGAGGGTTGTTAAGCTATGGAATTCCTTGCCCAGTGAAGTAGTTGACGCTACTTCAGTAAATGCTTTTAAAACAAAAGGTAGATTTTTTTTGAACAATAAAGGAATTAAGGGATACGGTGAGAACGCGGGTAAGTGGATCTGAGTCCACGAACGGATCAGCCATGATCTTATTGAATGGCGGAGCAGGCTCGAAGGGCCAGACGGCCTACTCCTGCTCCTAGTTCTTATGTTCTTAAGTACAAAGGTACCTAGGTACAGCTTCTTTAGTTACAAGATCTTAGAAAATAGAGAATAAAATGCCCAGCATTGCAGAAATGAAAGTCCAGAACAGTGATCTTCCAACCCATACCAAGCTGGCACCTAGCCCCCAGGCTTCACCTTGAGAATCACATTGACAATTGCTATTCAGAGGTAAAGGGGTTATGACTTTGATGATGAAATGCAGGAAACAGGCCATAACAGAAGAAGCAGCAAAATTCCAAAGAGGGATAGACGATGAGGACCTGCCCCAGCTGGGAAACACTGGAGATGGCCCAAGGGGTGCTGCTGCTTTGAGATGCCAGGAGCTGCGGGGCAGTCTGCATACCCCAGATCCTGAACAGCTTTGGGGAGGAACAACGCAATTGTGCTGGGTGCTGAATTGGGAGTCCCTCGCTGATGTCACACACAATGGAGACTTCACTCCCAGGGCAGCTATCTCAGCACAGAGATACAGGAGCTGGTTTACCCGGGACAGCCTCGGACGTGTGGACATCTGGGCTGGTAATCTAAAACCTAAAACTGGCTTTAGGTGACGGATATAACGGACTGGAGGCAGTTAACCTGTGAAGGATGTGTAAGATCAACACAGGGCAATGCAGTCAAAACAATCTCCTGGGAAGAAGCTGACAAAGGAACACAATGAAGTATCGGAGATAACAAGGTGTAGAGCTGGATGAACACAGCAGGCCAAGCAGCATCAGAGGAGCAGGAAGGCTGACGTTTCGGCCTAGACCCTTCTTCAGATCGCTTTTTTTGAATTATTTCAAACTACTGCACTTTTTTTAAAAAAGTGTACTTCCATTTTTCATGTTGGATAATGAATTATGTCTCATAAAAATGTAATTTTCCAACATCTTTTCTCAGTAAGCAGAGGAAGTGGAGTTAATGGGAATCGGGGGTAATCTCTCCGCTGGCACAAAGGATGATGATGGTTATTGTTGGAAGTCAGTCAACTCAGCTCCTGGGCATTGCTGCAGGACTTCCTCAGGGTATTGTCCTGAGGTGAAATCTCATCTAAGCCATTGGGAGGTTCTGTGCACATTGATTGGATGTGCCAGAACACTGACTTCCATATGTCAAAACTATTGCACCTCTGTGGAAAAAAGAAACTAGGGGAAGCATCGGTTCTAGGCCCAACCATCTGCAGCTGCTACATTCAATGACCTTCCCTCCAACTTAAGGTCAGGAGTGGGGATATGCGACAATGATTGCACAATACTCAGCACCATTCGCGGCTCTTCAGATACAGAAGCAGTCCATGGTCAAATGCAACAAGGTCTGGATGATAGAGTCAATAAATGTGGAGCTGGAAAAGCACAGCAGGTCAGACAGCATCCGAGGAGCAGGTAAGTCAATGTTTCAGGCTGAAACCTTCATCATGATTGGGGGGGGGAAGGCGGCGAGCCCAGAAATAAATAAAATGGAGGGGGGGGGGACTGGAGGTGGGGGGGGTTAGGTGAGACGGAGATAGATGAATGCAGGTGGGGGGTTATTGTGGTTGGTCATTGGGAAGGGTGGA